TTTATACCTTAAGTAGTTCAATCAAATTGGACGTTTTATCTCAAATCTAATGTTTTAATTAGTTTTAAGTAGTTTTAATTGCTCAAGTGTTTTAACATTGATATTTAATTTGAATTTATTAATATTTTATCTGTTATTATCCATCGCTAACTCACTATCTATCTATCTCAGATTCTTTCTTTCTCTTCTTTAATATCTCAGATGACTTCTTTGTTCTTTTTTTTCTATCTACCTATGTCAAATTCTTTCTATGATTTTTTCTTTCTATCTCAGATGCTTTCTTTCTGTCATTCTTTCTATCTTTTTATCTATCTCAGATTCTCTCTTTCTTCCTTTTATTTATATATCTATCTTTTTCAGATTTTTTATATTTCAGATTCTTTCTTTCTATCACAGATGTCTTTCTTTCATTCTTTCTTTCTATCTATTTATCTATCTGAGATTATGTCTTTGTTTCTTTCTTTCTATTTCTGATTCTTTCTTCCTTTCCATCTCTGATACTGTCTTTCCTTCTTTCTTTCTTTCTTTCTTTCTCTCTTTCTATTTCAGATTCTTTCTATCTCAGATGTCTTTCTTTCTTTCCGTCTCTGATGCTGTCTTTCTTTCTTTCTTTCTTTCTTTCTTTCTTTCTTTCTTTCTTTCTTTCTTTCTTTTATTTCAGATTCTTTCTATCTCAGATGTCTTTCTTTCTTTCCATCTCTGATACTGTCTTTCTTTCTTTTTTTTTTTCTTTCTTTCTTTCTTTCTTTCTTTCTTTCTCTCTATTTCAGATTCTTTCTATCTCAGATGCTTTCTTTCCATCTCTGATGCTGTCTTCCTTTCTTTCATTCTTGTTATCTATCTATCTATCTATCTATCTATCTATCTATCTATCTATCTATCTATCTATCTCAAATTCTTTTTATTTTCATCATTATCTTTTTACACTTTATTCATATTTTATGAGTTTATTCTTTACTTTTTTCCCTCTTTTATCTGTAATGTCTGATTTTACTCTTTAGATTCCAAAGGTAAAATATTAAGATCATTATTTTAAACAAATTTTTAAGTGATAATTATGTCATTTGAAGGTGTTGGAATCTAATTTGTATTAAGCCCTGTCAGCCATCCCTCTGTAAGGAATGGCCTTTAGCATTAAATATAATTACCTTTCAATTGTTATATATTTATTATATTTTAGTTGCTGTACCCATTTTTCATCCTCAACTTAGCTCTGATGAGAGAGGATTGATAAACCACTTAAACTACTTTTTTCTTAATTTTTTTTTGCATTTTGATATTACCACTTTACAGTAATGTAATTTTTTTTTCACAAGTCTATTCTTTACCTAAATCTACATTTAATCTCTAATAGCTGATTTTACTCTTCAGAGGCCACATGAAAAATTATAAGATCATCATTTCAAACAAAGTTGGAAATGATAATTTTATTTCTTAATTCCAGAAGTCATAAGAATCTGATGATTTTACAAAATAAATAAATAAATTGTTGGTCTATATCTTAAGTTTTCTCATCAAGACACCATTGTCAAGATGGGTTGGGAGTAAAGTTATTTTTACCTGAGAGATATTGATCTGAGCAAATATTTAACAAAATAAAGTAAATAAAAAAAAAACAAGTTAATGAATCTACTTCCAAAGTCTGCCGGCGTTTATGCGAATAACAACACCTAAACTGCCTTCAGTTACAAATGATTGTTTTATTTAGGAAAATATTTACACAATTGTGATTTGTTTGTTTTATTTCAGTTTTATTATTTATTTTTTAAATTGAAATTGTTTGAAATTTCCTGCAAAAATAACAAGTAATTTTATTTTAATTTCATTTGCAAAAAAAAATATAAATGTACAGAGGCAAATCTGAATCGATATAAATTCATTACATTGACATGGTGTTATTAATCTATCATTATTTTGTCATTAATTTTTGATTAGTACTTCTTTCATCTTAATTTTAGACATTTTTCAATACATTAGTAGCATTCTTCTTTTATTCTTCAGAACATAGGCGATCATAGCCCTCCACATCTTCCTGTCACTTGTAGCTCGTTTAAAAGAACTCACACAGCAAATATCAAAATGGAAGAACTTTGAAAATACTGAAATTAAAAGAGACAAACAGGAAGCATTCAGACAGAAAGTATTGGAACTTAAACAAAAATATCTTTTTTCTTTTATGTGCTGTGTCTCTTCACGATATAGACGATCATGGCCCTCCACATCTTCCTGTCCCTTTTAGCTTCTAATAAGTTTTTTCTTTTTGTTATTTTTCCCAAAGCCTGTTCTAAAATCCATTTACTCAAGCTCATCATGTATCCTATACACTGCTTTCCTCTGTCCCTCTTTCCCTCAATCTGTCTTGTGAGTATCAGGTTTTCCAAGCCTTCCTACCTCACTACATGCCCTAGAAATTTCAACTACCTCTTCCTGGTGTTACGTTTCCTTTTTGTTCCCATTTTCTCTAAAATCTTGTTGTTGCTCAGTTTGGTGTTCAGTCCATGATATCCTCAGCATCTTTCTGCAGAACAACATTTCTTTTGCTTCAAGTCTCATCTTCATCTTTGAGGAGATTGTCCAGCATTCATTGCCATACAGAAGGATAGATATCATGTAACAGTTTATTACTCTTTTCTTTGCATCTATCAAAATCATTCTGTCTCTTAATACTCTGCTGAATTTTTGGAATGCATCTTTGTTGCCTCCTGCCTTCATCAAGCATATATTGATCTGGGTAGCCTAGAGGGAATTCTGAACTGAACCCTTTGTTTAATCTCAACTCACTGTCCAACATTTTAATTTACTTAGCTGTTGTCCTATGGAGAACTTGGAGTCTTAAAACTAACCTTGCCTGCTGGTAAGTGTTGGTGCTGTTTGTCATGTATGACTACACTCACTGAAGCTTTTCTCTTTTGTCTCATATTTTTTTTATTATTTCACCCCAAGAAAGGCAATATAGACTGTAAGACACAAGGGATTACAGAGTGTGAAAGAATAAGAAAAAAAAACATTAAATTGCAAGAACAATAAAAGAAGAGGAATCAAGAAGACAATTGATAATAATTGACATTGCATTTAAATTTTTGAAGATCAAAGTTGGCTGAAAATCAAGAAATCAGACGAGAGTCCCACAAAAGAAATGCGAGAAAGGAAACTTTTAGCAAAGAACTTATGGTTACATCTCACCAATTCAACTGTAAATTGATGAGACCTTGTTGCCAATCTAGTATATGCTTAAATATATAAAATCTAGTTACCATAGAGTAAAGTTCATCAGAACAATTACCAACATTATGATGGTGGGAAAGTGACTGAACTTGGGATGTTTTGTCAGGACCAACAACACTTCAGATTCTTTTTTGGATTTTATCAACAATCTCTAAGTATATATCAGGACCACCAGACTATAGGTGGAAGCAATATTCAAAGCATAGAAGAAAGAGAGACTTATAAATATGTAAGACAGATTCTGGAGAGAAAAATTGTCTAGCACAACACAGTGAAGTAACATTCTTAGCAGCAGGCCAAATAATTGATTCAATATAATCTTTCCATGTCAGCAGAGAACATTAGTCTGAGAAAGCACAAAGAAGTCGCACTCCAGCAGGTTAGCATTATCCTTTCTGATGGAAGGCAGAAAGAGATCTCTCATAGAATTAATAGAAAGCAATTTTGGTTTGGAGGTATTAAAATTAACAAGTCATTCCTTGCCCCAGTTAATAACAAATTGTAGGTCATTTTTGTAGAATGTTTTTTATAATTAAGCTGAGAAGATTTTTTGCAGCAAAACTATTCTGTATTCATTGACTTAAAAAAATGTTAAATTGAAATACATTATATCCCCATTGTAATTTCTCATTGTTTCTCTGTGATAATAATTCTTTTCCCCTAAATTCTTTTATTTAGCAGATTTTAGTTCGCTTTTGAGATCAGCTTCTAATTTGACTTTATCAAAAAGATCAGACTTACTATTAAGACAGGAGTAAATAGTTGTGTTACCCAAAGAGGGTTGACATATGGTCAAAAACAAATGAATCAATCAGTCAGTATATCCAGTAACATGCAGATGGGTATAACCGACCCAAACATCCAAACAAAGAGTGAAATAAAAATTTAATTTATATTTAATTTGAATAAGGGGTTTATTTTATGTTTCACCTGTTTTTACATATCTTCCTTTCTCACATTTCTTAGTATTGGGTTGATTAAGTCTTAGGGGCATACAGTCAAGGAGTTACCCCCAGTCATTACAAAAACTTGTCAATGAGTTTATCTGTCTATTTTTATTGTTAGAAGTTTGATGCTCAACCCTACAAATTGATCATTTATTTTTATTATGATAAAGGGCATACATTTTTCTATAATAAAACCTTTAGTTAATGAAACCTCTGATAGTAGTTCAGGGTTTCCCTTCAAGAGTCACATACTTATTAAAACAGATATGTTCACTGTATTTTTAAACAAAAACTTTTCTTTAATTAAAATTTTCAGTAATTAAACTTGAACTGAGTATGACATTTGATGCAATAAAATATGTAATTTTTTTCTTGATTTTCCACAAATAAAATTTAATCTTAATTGTTGATCTTTTTCTTCTTGTTTTTTTTTTTCTTTTTAAAGATTTCTTGCACTTGGCCTTCTATAAATGTGACATCATGATTATAAAAGCCATCATAATGTCAGGCAAATTGAAATCTAATTTGGAGTCTTTAAAATTTCTCAATTAAAATGCGTGCCATGAAAACAGATGGTGAAATTTTATGCAAAATCTGTCAATGGTATGTTCAAAAGTATTTTTACATTACAGGAATAGAATATAAATATATAAATATAAATATGGGGAAGAAAAGAGAAAATATAAAGAAAACAAATGTAACAATGGAGTAAAAGTAAAAAAGGTAAGAGAGAAAGAGAAAGAGAGGGAGAGAAAGAGAGAGAAAGCATAAAGAGAATGGTGAAAAAAGAATTTAGAAAAAAAAAACAGTTTCTGATAAAAAAAAAACTCAGAGAGGATGACCAGAATGAAATGATGGTAGGAAATTGAAAAGTATACAAAAAAGGAAGGAAAATAAATGAAGAACAACGAAGAAGGAATATGAATGAAGATGAGAGAGGAAGGAAAATGGGAATATATAAATGGGAGAGGAGAATAAATTATGAAGAAACAGGAAGGAAGAGGAATAAAGATGGGAAAGGAATAAAAATGGAAAATATAAGGAAAATGAATGAAGTGAAATAGGAAGGAAATTGAAAAATATATCAAACAGGAAGGAAGAGGAATAAAGATGAAAAAAGAAAGAAAATGAAAAAATAGAGGGTAGGAAAGAAAATGCAAAACTATGAAACAGGAATGAAAATGAATGAAGATGAGATAAGAAGGAAAATAGGAACACATGAAACAGAAAGAAAAAAGAATGCAGATGAGATAAAAAGAAAAATAGAAAATATAAAAGAAAGAAAATGAATGATGAGACAAAGGAAAATGAAAAAAATATGAACCAGGAAAGAAAAATGAATGAAGATGAGATTGGAAGGAAAATTAAAATAATATGAAATAGGAAGGGCAATGAAACAAGAAAGAAAATGAAAAATATTGTGTTATAAATGAAAAGGTGAGAAAGATAAGATGATGAAAAAGAAATGTAAGCTGAAAAATAAAATGAAAACTGCAATGAAGAAAGAAAGAAAATAAAGATGTAGTTAATGAGAAAACAAAAAAAGAAAAAGAAGTTAAAGGAAAAGAAGTCATAGATAAAAAAGTAAAAAAAATGAATGAGTGAATAAGAAACATAAATGTGAAGGAAGAAAATTTGATGAATCAAATGAAGAAAAATGGCTGAAGAAATTGGTAAAAAGAATGAAAAAGTAAGAAAAAAGGTAGTGAATAAAAGAAGAAAACAGGAAGTAAAATGAATGAAAATATGACAGGAATGAAAATGAAAAAATATGAAATAGCAAGGAAAATGAAAAATAAGAAGCAGGAAGGAAGATGAATGGAGAATATGACCGGACTGAAAATGGAACATGAAACAGAAAGAAAAAGTATGAAGATGAGACAGAAAGGAAAATGGAAAACTATGAAGAGGGAAGGAAAAAAGAATGAAGATGAGACAGAAAGGAAAATAGAAAACTATGAAACAGGAAAGAAAATGAATGAACATGAGGCAGAAAGGAAAATGGATAAATATAAAAAGTGAAGGAAAAAGAATGAAGATGAGACAGAAAGGAAAATAGGAACATATGAAAGAGGAAGGAAAATGAATGAAAAAGAAACAGGAAAGAAGATGAATGAAGAATATGACAGGAATGAAAATGGAACATATGAAAAAGGAAGGAAAAAGTATGAAGATGAGACAGGAAGGAAAATGAAAAATATGAAATGGGAAGGAAAATGAATGAAGATGGGGGTGGAAAGGAAAATGAAAGATATAAAAGCAGAAGGAAAATGAATGTGTGGCAGTAAGGAAAATGAAAAATATGAAATGGGAAGGAAAATGAATGAAGATAAAACAGGAAAGAAAATGAAAAAAGAGAAATATAAGTTGAAGAATAAGATGAAGGAAAAGATAATGAGGGAGAGAAAGAAAATAAAGATTTCATTAATGAGAAAAGAAAAAGAAAAAGAATGTAAAGAAAAAGAAGTCATATATAAAAAAGGATACTCAAAGAAAATGTATAACTGAATAAGAAAGGAAGAAAAATGTGGAAAATCAAATGAAAAAAAATGGCTAAAAGAATGAAAAAGTAAAAAAAAGGTAATGAAAGAAAGATGAAGAAAATAAATAAAAAAAAAAAGAAAATGCAGTGAGAAAGTTACAGCAACAAGAGTACAAAATAAATTTAATTAGAGATTCTTGATAAAATTGAAAGAATCTGCAATGTTTGACATGGCATCTTAGTTTTAGTTGCTTTCCCACAATGCATAATGTAGCTTCATTGTGCATTTTCTATAAATATTTTCATGCTAATTGTTCTGATACAACTTTTCTCTATGGCACCTAGATTTTAAGAATTTAAGCACAGTACTAAATTGATGGCAAGGTCTCTTCATTTTACAGTTGAAATTGCTTGATATAACTGTAAGTTCTATGCAGTTTTTTCTGTAGCACTTCTTGCTTATGAAACTCTCTTTCTGTTTCTTGCTTTCGAGTCAACTTTGACCTTCAAAATTGTAAATGCAATTTCAGTTGTCATCTTTTATCTTGTTCTTTTATTGTTTTCTATACTTAATAATGTTTCACTTTTCTCATATCCTTCCACATTCAGTAAGCTCTTAAGTCTTAGTAGCTTTATTACCTTGCTTGGAGTAAAGTTGTAAAAAAAATAAAGAAAAGGATGTAAAATAAAGAAACAATGAAAGAAAAAAATCTAAGAAAGAGAGAATGTAAAAAAAGATATAAAAAGAAAGAAAGATGTCGAAAGAAAGGAAGATATAGTAAGAAGAAAAAGAAAGGAAACTGAAGCAGAGAGAAAGAGAGAGAGAGAAAGATAGAGAGGGAGAGAAGAGACAGCAAGAAATGGGAAGTCTGAAAGCAAGATAGTAAAAATGAAGAAAGTAAAAGAAAGAGACAAAAGCCAATGAAAGAGACAGAGTAAAAGAAATAGACTGAAAAAAAAAGAGTGAGGCTGCTAAAAGTGGAAGGACTGGAAAGAAAATGAATGACAAATAAGCAAAACAAAACAACTGGATGCAAATGACAATAACCCCACTTGGAGGGGCGTATTCTCAGCAGTAACTAATGTCTCTACCTAGTTCTACAGAAGACATCACCTAGAATTATCGTCAGATTTATTTAGCAAAGTCAGTTTCCCTGCTAAAAGATGAAGTGTTCACTTGCTTGTGTGCGGTTCACTGTAAAGATCTTCTTCTTCTTCTTCTTCTTCTTCTTCTTATTATTATTATTATTATTATTGATAGAAGAAATAGACTAAAAGAGGGGCAAGAAAAACATATAATTTACACATTCATGTAATTAGAATTCTAGGTGTGGACTCTGAATGAAAGCATTTCTTATGACATCTCTGGTGAGCACCATGTCCCCTAACATCCATTTATTGGCAAAGGTAGCAGTGTTGGCAGGACTGGCCCTAGCATGTGTTTAAAAGCTAAATATTTATGGTTTTCTCTTTTTGAATGTAGAGGCTTCCAGAAGGGTATGTGCAAGGCTAGATACTTTTACTATAGCATCTATGAGCATGAAATATATTATTTCAAGGATTAAGGGCAAAGATTTTGGGTACAACTTGCTTTGTCTAAGCATAAACCAAACGGCCAGAGAGTTATAATTGTGTGAGTATTAGCAAAAAGAAACTGATTCAAGAAATCTTTTGATAACTGAAGAAAATTTTAGTTAGAAAGAAAAAAAGATCCCATAATTAAATGGATAATTCATAGTTTATTTTTATCATTCATTCATTCCATTTATATAAATTGATCATGATCACAATCACATCTCATTAGGGTCATCACATGTACTGCAGCTGCAGTTGAAGTGGTGTGTCTTGGGCAAGATAACCTGACAGAGCTCAACCCTCTCCAGGCTGGTCTGAATTCAGAGTTTTCCTTCTCCTAGATCAGTTGCTACCCAAGGTTATAGAATCCAGTCTGTCCTGCTATTCACCCATAGCTGGGGGTGAAGAGATGGATTCATATCTTTCCCAAAGGTATTAGCACATAAGTGAATTTGATTTGAACCCATTTCTCTGATTCCTCAATCCAAATTGCAATCCATTATTCCACTGTACCATTATATAGATATAACAAACTAAATATACAGGATATGTATATTGGTTTATTCTGCTTATATAGGTACAGTAGAACTCCCCAAATTTGAACATAGCATAATCTAGACTTCCTTGAATTAAGACTTATGTTCAAATCTAAATTTTTGTATTGACAGAAATAGGAAGACTTTTCTTCCTCAAATCAGAACAGTACCCTCAATACCAAACATCTTGGATGGTCAGTTCCACAAATTGTACTGTATATTCTCATTTTTGTTTTCCTTTACAGATTGTAATTGTTTTTGAATAAGATATTCCATAAATTTTTATATATTTCATAAAATGTCTTAGTTTTTCACAAATAAAATTGTTTAGCACAAATTTTTTCATTACTATCGATTGTCAATTATTTTTTGTACATTTATGTTTTCAATCTACACTTTAAATAAAAACAAATTATTGTTACAAACTACCTTTTCTATCCTAAACTCTAAAACTTAATAAAAATTTTAATCTTGCCACAGCAGCCTTTTCTTCCTCGAATCCATACAGTACCTTCAATACCAAACATCTCATGTTTGGTTTAGAGGAGTTGTACTGTATAACAAAATCAAACAAAGGTTAGGTTGCACTTGGGGTTATTTTGTCCAAACATCAAAGCCAAAAAAAGGCATGAGAGTTATGTTCTTAAATATCCTCATCAGATCTTGATTATCTTAAAGTAATATAAGCCTTTCACATTATATGAGAACATTCAGCATTCATTGACCAAGTCCACTGTTATCATTCTTTATTAATATATTATGACCAGGTAGAGCTAAAAAAATCAAAGCCTTAATTTTGAGCCAGCTAAAAACTATATATACCCAAATTCAGACCCTACACAGATCAAAGTTTGATGTCAACACTGACATGCTGAGAAAGAGATGCCACCAATGATGATGGCGCAATAGGTGTGGCCACCACCAAAGTATCTATTCACTTTTAATTTCATCACTCTCTTTGCCTGCTACCAGTCTTTGTATATATGTAAATAAATTATACATTTATCTACTCCTACTCAATGTCCTCTTTGTTTTGACACGTGGATTTACATTTGTTGAGGCTGAAAAGGAATTAAACTTCACAGCAGTAACAACAACAACAACAAAAAAGGTTCTTCCTTCCAAGTTACCCATTTTCACTTCCAAAACAAATGTCAACATCTTGATTATGTCAGTATTTTCTCAAGTATTTTCATGGAAAATGTTCCGATGAGCTACTTCACTGGTTCCCGGACTACATGAATTTGAGCGAGTTACCAGGCTGGCATCTTTCACTGTCAAAATGGTTAAATGGAACCGTCTCTTCTACTCAAAGAGCTTTTTCTCCTGCACTTCCCATCTGTGGAACTCCCTTCACCTTACTTGCTTCCCTGATGACTATAATCTTCAAATATTCAAATGTAATGTCAATCGACATCTGACACCCTTAGCTTGTTCCCTGTCCTTTTCTGTATCCTTTCCTCAAATATGCCTCTTTACTCTTGTTCTCAATCCTCTGTAACCCCTAGTGTGCTAGAGGCACTCCTGCCTTGCTTGGGATGAATTGCCTTAAAAAAAAGTTAGATCATATGTGCTATCTATTTTAGTTGTTGCTGTTGTTGTAAATCTTCAAGTGAGGTAGTTTTATTTTTTGGTAATGTTCTTTGTTTGTGATTCTGTAGTGCCAGTCCACAAAGTTTGCAGAAGGATTGATGTTTCTAAACATCCAGAGTTCATTCTCTTGAAACCATTTATAATATTTAATCTGAGCAGTAGTGAAATGGCTCAAAAATTTATACTGGGAAAAGCTTGTAAAAGGGCCCAATCGAAAGGTTCCACTTAATCCTAAAACATAGTCAAGGGAATCAAATAAAAGTAAAGATTTTAGGTAAATAAAATGTTACATTTATTCAATACTGTTTTATTTATTAATGTTAAACAAATATATTTTATATGTTAAACAAAACAAAATAAAAAAATATCCTTAAAAATGAAAAATAGCTTCATCAAACAAAGAACTGAGGATATCTATTACCTACCCCTCAAAAATATAGTATCAAAAAAGCCTTATTTAAATAAGAATCCCAGAATCTATGCAATATATTTCTTTTTTAATTTCTCTTTTATAATATTTTAGACTATCACTTTGGGGCCCACTGGGAAATTTTCAAATTTCCTAGTGGGCCAATCTGCCACTGGATCTGAGAAAAGAGTTGTATACAGTAAGCATTTTTGAATGAGTTAGGCATCATTCAGGACATCTATATGAAGGTCTATATGTGACAAGGCTATTTAAGAACATGAGTTGAGTTCTGAAGTTAATGTTTTAGTTTTCCTGCATTTTGCAGTGCTAGATGGCTGTCAGCGCCTCAGAAGTGTCCAAATCTTGTATATAAAACCATTTTTCAGATTAATAATTTAAAACCAAATGAATCCTTGAGGTCATAAATGAAAAAAATTCTTCACCAGACCATATAAACTGGGCCCCATAAACTGGACCCCATAAACTGGACCCCATAAACTGGAGTAAAAAAATCACAAACTGCATAGGAACATAACAGTATACTAACATATAGATCTTAATGAAGACTATCTTAGTGAGGACTATCTTAGTGAGGACTATCTTTCTTTTAACCACATTTACAGACACTAAATAATTACAAAAAAAAAACTTTACTAAATAACAAAAAAACACTTTATTTGAAGTATTCCAACAACAGCAACAACTAAAATAGATAGCACGTGTAAAAGAATTGATTGATTTTTTTTACAGTATATCAACATTTTTCAGGTTATTTAAAGACAGAAAATATTTTGTGATTTTAAGAATTTCTTTTTTTGATAATAGTGATTTACTGATACAAGTCTTACTAATTAACCCATATCTGGAGGGAGAAGTGGTTTATTCTATTCATAATTTTCCCAAGGGTATTTGCAGCTAAGTGAATATAACAAACCTGACTGGAATTGAAAATCAGGATTCTCTGATTTCCAATTCTGAGCCATTATAAATTACACACATCCAAGCTTACAACACCTTCCATTTCTAATGGTCACCCATTTAGGAATTGACCAGGCTTGATGTTGCCCAACTTCAGTCATCTTGGTATTTCAATGTGATATGGCTGCAAGCCTGTAACTAGAATGGAAAATAATGATATAATCAAGATGCTGACTTTCCACACATATATGAGAAAAGAATTTAAAAAGTAAATATAAGCCAACATTAATTCAAACCCTTTGGCTAATGAAGATTTCTTATATTGAAATAACTAAACTGACCATTATCAGAGACAGAGTGGACAAAGAAATGAACACTACATAGTGACTGGCTGTTTCATGCCTCAAATTATCTTCATAGCATGTGAAACTAGTAGTGAACATACAGTGTTTGTTACTGGCTCCTCTTCTCTCTAAACTCTCTGCTTCAATGATTCTAGCTTCCCAGCTTGCTGGACATCCTCCTCTGCAATCCTTGTCTTTAAGAACTCTGGTAAACCTTCTGACCCATCAAATTATCACCCTAATAGTCTTTTAACTCTTTTTGGCAAAGTACTAGATGCTCTAATCATCAATTTGATTAAGCATCTCACTTCACATGGCCTTATTTCAGATAAACATTCTAGCTTTTCTTTCTCTAGGTCTATCACTGATGAGTTAATGGCTATTATTGAATTTGGCTATAAGGTTTTAAATATAAACAGCTAGGTATCTCAGGGGCATTTGACAATGTTGGGCATAGTTTCACTAGATGAATATGTGGCTTAATCCTGTCATTATTAAGAAATCATGTAATGAAAGTTGTGTTGAATGGGCATGCTTCTATATCATCTGACATGGGCTCTATGCTTGGACCTACATTGCTTCTTATGTTAATCAATGACTTTCCTAGATATTTGCACTGATGAGACATCTATTTAACCCTGTCTTAGTAGCAAGTCCAAAAAATTAAAACTGGCACCTTCTCTTAAAATGACTAACAATCAGTGGTTAAATGGGGCAAGGAATGGCTTGTAAATTT